AACCTACCTGAAACTTCCATATCACACTTCCCATAAAACTACACTCGTAAAGAAGCTTGCTTGTGTAATTATATAGACCGACAAAAGACACATCAACATGAACCATAAATCTTGCCACTTGCCACAAATAGTCCCTTTCAGACCACACAAGGTCTTACAACATGAATCTTTTTATACTTTAGGTATCGAGACCAGAGCTTTAACACAAGTATTCATTACATGATCTCACTTTAGATCCATCTTTCCTTAACTTCAGTAAATCAATTCTTGCAAACAGCCACAACAACAAAAAAGCAACAAAAAAATCATTTTTTCTTTGCAACTCTTTTGAATTACAAGATTTTAAAAGCAACCCTCAAAATTTAGCAATTTCATGCCCTGATCCAACAAAAATAAACAAGAAAATTAAATAAACTTAATTTTCATACCTGAATAGCCATAGCTGAAAAAACCACTCAAAATACCCTTCTTAAAGAAACTCTTACAGTACCCTTCTTGATGATATCTTCCTCAAACTCATAAACTAACATAATAACACCAAAAAATATATCTCTCCACTTTCACTTCTTCTCTGACACAAACGAAAAACGCAACCCGCCCCTTCAAAGCATTGAAGTCAAAGCTTAATATTCTAACAACAACCTAAAAAGATTGAAGCTTTTGTCTTCAACCAAGCTAGAAAAAGAAACCCAAAAGAACTAAACAAGCAACAAAGTTAAAGAAGTGAAGAAACAGGGAAAGAAACAGGGAGAGAGAGTGAGATAGAGAGAGAGAAAAAGGTGAGCGTCTGCCTGTCTATTTGGCTTGTGATGAAAAAAAAAACACAAGAGAGAGAGGGGGGGAGCGAGGGAGAGGAAGGAAGGACGCCACGTCAGAAGTATTTTTTTTATTTTCTTAAGATAGAAAGCTTTAAGATAGGAAAGCTCGGGAATTCAATGGAATCTTGTGGCTCACGTCAAAAGAGCAGCTTGACACGTGGCATCTGGGTTTTTGTTTGTGTCTTCCCTTTTTATTAGGCAAGCATGTTTAATTCGGTGGAGAAAAACATGGAGGCCAGTTTTTTCTTTTATTTTTATTTTTATTTTTTATTTTTTTATGGATAATCAAGCAATTCTTTTTATTATATAAACTTCCACTTTGTCTTGTCCACCTCTCTTTTTGCCACAAATATTTTTAGATTTTTAGTTTTTTTCATTGTACTCTCATGGAGAATATATATATATATATGTTGTTTAATTTCCTTAGGAATAGAGAAGAAAAGGTAATAGTGATTCTAGATGCTTTTTGCTTGTTGATAAGATTAAATAGCTCTTGCCTCTTGAGAAAATTCAGTTCACTTTAGCTTGCTATTAGGGTTTGTGAGGAGGACAAATTTAGTTGTTACTTGTGGGTGAAAAATATTTATGAATACCTTTTTTTAACAAATTGAAAGTAATTTATTTTGATGTTAAGAAAATCATAAAATTAAAATATAAGAGTGGTATTTTATGAATTTAAGCTTAGCTGAGATTATTACTTTTGCAAGGTTTAACATTTTTCATATACATATATATATAGAAGTTGAATATTATAAATTTCACATTAATAATACATATTCTTTTAGTTCCTTTTTAATTTTATTTTTAACTGGACAAATATTAATTGAAGTCAATTGTGTTTGTTTTTTAATTCTAACCTGTAAATTAATTTTTTCATGTACTTTTTAACTATTTTTATGAGCTGATTATATAAATAAAATATTTTATTAAGTTCTTAATTGAAAAAAATCTTGTACTGCAATATTTTAATTTTTAATTAATTTATTTGTACGAAAATAATTAATTCAAATAATAAATGACAAACAAATCTAGGGGATTGAGCGGTTGAGTTTTCCATAATAATAATAAATGAAAATAATTAATTAATTTTTTTATTTTTTGTATATCATTTTTTTGCCAATAGTTGTCTTCCTATTTCCCCTTCTTAGAACCAGAAAATGCAAGCAGAACAAAAAGATGATACTGACTTTATCGAGCTTTCATGAACATGGAAAAGCACCGCGTTGGGGAGGCAGTAGGCATCACAAACCCTTCTGTGATTGGTCTAAATTAACCAGTACATTACCTGTCGTTCATTCCTCGTGCTGTCACCTGTCACTGGATCGCGATTGCTAGAGAAACACTCAATTCATTATCATCAATTAAAAGATATTTATTTTTTTCAATACAATAAATATTATTCCAATATTGTCGGTCCACTCTCCAATAAAAAAAAATACAAATAATATTTTTTTATTAAATATAGTAAAAAAAATAAATTTGTTGCATCATTTGGGTGCTTGTAAGAATAAATAAATAAAACTTGAATTTGATGAAACAAATCAATCTATAAAATCACTCTAGTTTAATTGAATTATTTTAAATTAAAATTTAATTTGCATTAGTTTTTATGTAAAAAATTTAACAGAAAAAAATTAAACTGAATTAAATTTAACAATTATATAAAAAATTAAAAGTTTAGCTCAATAATTAAAAATGCAAAATAAAAAAAATTACTGGTTAAAAATATAAAAAAATTAAAACTCAATTTATGTCACATGATTGCTATTTAAATTTAACTGAATTAATATTAGATTGATTTAAAATTTGATTTAAATTAAACTTGATTAGGATTTAAATAGTAAATCTATCATGTATCAAGTCATTCAATCAGATTAAATTAAATAATTATTGTAGAGAAGACAGCTGTGACAGAGGAAAGCTTAGCTTAAAGATGCAAAAACAAACAAATCTTGTTTATCAAAAAATCGGAATTGATATTTTGTGACGAGGAAAAAGATTAAAATATCTACAACTTGTTTTTAAAATAATAAAAACAATGTGCGTGACCATGAGAGAGAGAGAGGAGGTTAGCCAAGAGTTGTGGATTAAAAAAGAGCCAGGTGCCTTACTTTTGCACTTTTTGCCACGTAAGCACCACTCGCCGCCCTTGCTTATCAACAATGCCACGTGTATTTTCTGAGGAAAGAAGAGAGAGAAGAAAAGGGGATACACATCATTGCTTAGCCACTCATTTTTATTTCTTTTAAAAACAATTCTCAAGAATTTATATCCACGAGTTTTTTTTTATTTTTTTGAGCTTTGAGAGTTTCTTGTTGGGAGGAAATGTTTAGAAAAGGAAAGCACGGGGTTTTGAACGTGGTTATCCTGTCTAATTTAGGATTTAATATGTTAATTGAGTTACTAGATTAATCTAAAATCCTTTTTTGAATTACTGAGACACCAGGTTAAATTATAGGGTGTTTAGATCAATGTATATTGATATGTTTTTTAAGAAAAAATTTTATTTTATTTTAAAAAATAAATTTTGATTAAGTTAATAATTTTTCATTTAAATTAAAATTCATTTAAAAACAATCTTAAATTATAAAGTTTCTAAGATAAAAAAAGACTAAATTTAATAGCTATGTTCAAAAATAAATGGAAAAGTTTCATACGTGCCATGTGCATGTTGATGAACACTCTCTTTATTATAGGATTTTTCTTTTTTTTTATTCTTC